ACTAAGATTGACAAGAACTCAGTTTGACTCAGCAAAACTGGAAGAAGGCTAGAGTACCCAAAACTGGCAAACACTCTGGCGTCGAGGTTGAGGCAGTCAGCAGCTTAAGAGCGCTCAGATAACGAGGTAACCCTCTGCAGGTGTGTGAGGGGGCGGACCAGAACCAGGGCCTCCTGGTGGAGGAAGGGAGACAAACACAGAAACACAAACACACAGACAGGAATCCTGACACAGGCCACATTGATTTTAAAAAACTAAACCCCCGCCCAAAGAAAAAAAGCAACAAAAACCTATAGAATATTGAATTATGAATCATTTTTAGCTCAGGTCACCCAACAGTACTGCACATGCTTACGAAACACTATTGCTCAATCCCAATCTGGCCTCTAAACAGTCTTTTCTGAATTCTCTCAGAGAAAACTTCTAATAAGAAAGGAGCTAAATTATTAAAGAACTTCCTGTAGATTTTGGATATCAGTCTGTCTGAGCCTGGGGATTTATTTAATTTTAACTGACATAAGGCACTAATCATTTAATTTCAAGATATTTTTTCTATCACTAAGGGTTTGCATCATCTTGTTTTTTTTTTGTTTGTTTGTTTTTTTTTCAGAAAGAGTGAAAAAATGGTGGATGAATGCTGACAGAACTTGGGCGTGTAAAGGCTACTAATTCTAGTCACTAAGGTTAGCTAATTCTCTGGATTATTCGCAACTAAACCATTAATTATTAACTGTTTAATAGTTATTTTTTGATAGTTGACTCTCAAGTCTAAAGAAGTATGTATCTTTGTCTACGTGATCTAACATAAGCTCCTTCAGCTCTCCGTTTACAGATCCCATCCAGCCCACTGCTTTTTCATTAGTATCCAAAGAAGTAACAGCTTAAATTTTCTCTGTCAACATAATCCTCTGCTGATTACTGAATCCATTGATATTTACTAAGATTAATATACAATTTGTTACTTCCACCATTAGTAATAGATAGTGAACTTCTTTATCACATTCTGAGATTCAAAAGCTTCCCAGTAAAATGATTTTTGACAATGCATACCACGGCTGAGTGTTCTGACCCATGAGACATCCAAATATCTGATCCCCATTGTGACCTCCAGAAGTTGTTATCTTCTGAGGTAGAAGAGGACACTGAGCTGTTGGAACTCATCAAAGAAGCTCAGGTGTTTTGATGAAAATTAAGGAATTAAGTCAGTCTGACTATAACTTTTGTTCAGCATTTTTTCCCCAATTGATCAACTTTAAATGTGATTATAAGGCTCTCTCTTCATACCACCCACAGATCAGCTGGATCTGGTCAGCTGGTCTCTCAATGCAATTGATCAAATTTATTCAACTGTATGTCCTGCTGGGACATACTTTGTAGGATACATCATGGACTCCTGAAAGGCGTGGAGGGTGATGTGTTTCACAACATTGTCAGTGGAGGATATTAAGATGTGTGCATTTTTGATCTTATGGTACTCGGATTTCTCCTTTTTGGATTTGGAGGATACCTGATGTATCTAAAATGATAGAGGATGTTGGCGGCAATTTGGGCATTGATCAAGCTGCCAGCAGCGGTTATCCCTCACAAAGGCTGTGATCGAGTAAGACCGGGAGTTGACCTGCATGTAGGGTGCGATTGAACGCAGGCTGGCTGTGGTGGTTGAATTCAAAGGTGTGATGGGATAATATTTTGGATGGTCACGCTTGCTTCAAGGTCGGAGAAGCCCGACAAATCTGGAATAGTCTTGCCACGTAAGAGCCAGCAAGAATAGACTCAAGGCTGAAGGAAATTCCTGTGCTGCCTGCCCTCAAAACATTAAGTGTTTTTGTGGATTCGACCTACCCCCTTTATCTAATCTCCCCTGGATGTTATAGAGAAAGGACACAGAAGAACTGTGTTTTTTATGTGCTTTTTTTTGTGCTGAGGTTTTTTGATATCTCAAGCTGTACCCTGTCAAAGATAAAGAGTGAAATATGCTTCTATGTTTCCACAAAGATAAAGACAGTGTATAGGTAACCGCCTGGGACCTGGGAAGCAATAAGAATGCGCTACTAGCAGCATTCTGCATGGCCTCAGTAAATCCGTTCTCAGCCCACCACCCCAATGTATGTGATGTATTGTGATGAATGGTTTGTACTGAAACTGAAATTTTGATTGCAATGTAAATTCTAGTTCACAATAAAGATTGATTGATTGATTGATTGATTGATTGATTGATTGATTGATTGATTGATTAAGGCAGTAACTCAGAGGAGCTCCAGTTTTATAATAAGTTTTTTTTTTGTATAAAGATTTTAATTTGTATTTATTTCGATTCCTTACTAACTTCCAGGCATCATATTTATGTCTTTTTTTTAAATCTGAGATGGAAAGAATAAAATGATAAGAATTAAATGCTCAAATTAAAAGATTAATTAAAATAGTCTTTGTTTTATAATCAAGTGATTGCTTATATCAATCGATACAATCAATCACTTTATTTTGATTCAAGTGATTAATCAATATAAATCATGTTTATGGTTTACACTCTCGGTTTTAACAGCATACATAGGGTTAGAAATTAGTTTGGAGAGAAAATATTGTTTAACATTTAGTCAAACAAAGGTTTGTCTTCATTTCCAGAAATAACTTTTTTTTCTAAGAATGACATAAAAAGACTCAAGGATTGAGAACAGTTTGGTATGGTTTCAGTGAAAAGGGATTTTTGAATATATTCTTACGAGAAAAACGTAATCTTAAGAAGAAAATCTTAAGAAGAAAAACCTTAAACTAAGTTAAACCAATTAACATGTATGGTGATGTTAAACCATAAACCTATAACACAGGGGTGTCAAACTGGTTCCAGAAAGGGCCGTGTGGCTGCAGGTTTTCTTTCCAACCAAGCAATAGCACACCAGAATCCTGTCATCTCATCAAGTGAGTCCAGTCTCAACATGGTGACTTGATGAGATGACTGCATGCAGCCCTTTCTGTAGTGATGGTGAGATGAAGCCTCGTGAGGCATTGAACCGTTTGGCCAAATTGCTTCAACGATCCCCACAGTTCATGAGGCTTCATGTGAACATGTCACCAGTGCAGAACTACAGTTTGTAATAAAATCAATGATTTTTTTTTTTTTGCAACTGTTTTTCTTTTTTTCCCCTTTTAAGTTCCCTTGAAATTATTAATGGTTGGTGTGTATAATAAAATATTTTGTAAGTTTTTTTAAGTGTAAAATTTCTTAGAACAATAATTTAAGGTGCACCGTTTTTCTGCCATTTTAGTGAAATAAACTCAAGCAGACAGTGNAACACAAGTATCTGTACTTTTACTCAAGTACGGAAAGTGAGTACTTTTGCCATCTCTGCCCATAGTTGACCTTAGCAAAGGTTTCACTGCTTTAATGCCCAAGTTAGCACGTTCCGCACAAGCACTCGTAACAGGTTTAACTGACAGAAGATGAACAATCATTTGTCAAATCAAAATATGGAAGCAACAGATCAGTAACGACAAATTAGAGCATAATTCTAATATATTCCCAAAAACTAACATCGTTTGTAAAAATCATTGGATGCAAACTATTGATACTTCATCAAACCAGGAAGCAGATTTCTCATCTCCATCGAAATATTTATTTAATACCGAGAGGCTTAAAAGTTTAATCAGATCCAGTCACAACAAATTCCAAGAGCTCCACCAGGCACCACCAGGGGGGACCCACTGGCCACCCCACTGGCCAGTGTTAATTTTATTACAATCAGTTTAGCATTTCATCCCATTATGCACAGCAAGCCACATAACATTAAAAATCCACAATAAACCAAGATATGAGTAGGAATTTACTTAAGTCTTTTTGATTTTTACAGGCATTTTTACCACAATAGTAGATTCAAAACCCTGAAATTATGGCTTTTAGTTTCGGTGGCCACCCCAAGATTTTTAGCAGCCCCATCTGGCCCCTCCTATTAAACACTTCGGGAGGCACCACTGTTTGGATGTAGAGAACAATCCAATGTTGTATGATCCTAATTATTCCTTTTACAAATACCGACAATGAAAAGAAAATGTTTGGGCAGAAACATGTGTGATTGATGCTGTTGGTGAGCTTTAATTAGGTCATATTGAATTAAGCATTCATTACCGAATGTTTTTCTCCTACGAATTAAATAATATCGTGGATGCTCTCCTTGAGCCTCAAGGAAATCGGAGTGGAGCAAGATGGGAGGAACTGGGAGGCTGTAGGCTTTGCTTTGTGCAGACAGTCTGGAGTGGAGCAGATAATGTGGGATGAGTCTCGACCACCGCTTTGACGTTGTAGGTTGTAGGTGACAACTAGTGGCTGTTAATCTTAATACAACAAATGATTTATTATTGTCTCCTAAAGAAGGGTGTGGCGGTGACCAGATGTCCCCGATTTCTGGGGACAGTCCCAGTTTTGGAACACTTGTCCCCTGCTAAAGCTGTTCCTGTCTTGTCCCTGAAGAATATTTCAAGATGACTTGGATAATAGCGTGTTGTGACAAACACCAGATACAGCACTGGGACTTGATCAACAGCCGATACCGCACTGTGACGTCACAAACCGATAGGTTTGGATGCCTCCAGCAAAGCTCATTCAAGTGAAAATTACTCTTATTATTACTATTAAAAGCACTTCTCATTTATTGAACAATATGTAATAATTTCATATTTAAAGTACTTTCAGAAGTTTGAATTCAGAATATGATTGGACCTTTTCTTTAAAAGCCATTCACATTAAATAAGTAAACCAATAAAAAAGTAAAATGACAGACTTAAAATATTATTTTTACATATACTTTGCATATATCTTATTGAGGGTTCATATAAATGCACATTTCCATTAGAATATGTTAAAATCAATGCCTCCTACAACTTCACATTAATTCCCCAAACCGCGTTTGTGCCAGTAGATGGCAGTAGAGAGTCGCCTGGAGTTTAACTGAACAACAATAAGAGCTAAGAGGAAGCAGCTGTCACTGCTGTACGGATGTTCTGGCTTCATAGGATGCCCATCTGCTCATATGTAAACATTTTACAGTTTTAAATGTTTTCAACAAACTTCCTAGTCCTTATTGGATTCATAACCTAGCTGGAGGTAGTATCTAATATTTTGATGTGTCACAGAGAAGAACGAGTGCAGCTATCTAAATAGCATTCACAGTAGCTCACTTTTAGGTTAGCTGTAAAAATATGTCCAAAACAAGAAGCTAAATATTAAATATGGCTATTATTTCTTTGAAAGGCTTAGTATATAGTGTCTAGGGGAGAAATAATAGTCGTTTTTGTATGTAATTTTTTTTTATTGTGATATTGCGGAATACAACCTCATATTTGTCTTTTTTCCCCCATCTCTTTCTGATTTGATGTGATTGTAAATAGGTCAAAGGTAAAAAAGAACCCTCTGGAATCAGGCCTTTGAGAAGCTGATGGTCCCGTTTCCAAGATGCCCTACCACTGCGTGGCTTATGGATGTGGCAAAACTGTAGAAGATGGGGTGACCTTGTTTAAGTTCCCAAAGGATCCAGATGAGTTTCGGAAATGGGAGAAACAAGTTCAGAGGACCCGCGTGAAGTGGGCGGCCACGCATTTCTCCCACCTCTGCAGCGATCACTTCGGCAAAGAGTACTTTGAGGGGAAGCTGCCATCAGGAGCTCTGAAGCTGAGGCCCGGAGCAGCTCCCACGGTGTTTGTCCGTCCACACTGCTCCCTCTGCAGCGGAGTGGGCTGCAGAAAGTGCCTGCCTTCCATCCAGCACTGCACCAACTCCACAGAGCGCAGGGATACTGTAAGATGCTCAATGTGGGGTTTTCTGCATGCCTCTTAGTGGGTCACAGTTAGAATGTAAATATTTTCACATTTCTTCGCAGGAAGAAAGCAAGGAAAAGGAGGCTGAAGATGAAAACATTGGTAAAGAGGAAAGTTTGCCAAAAGGAAGGAGGATCTCCAGGGGAAAGCAGAGAGGCGATGAACCACGTAAGGAAGGATAATGAACAACAAGGCATCTTACAGTAGCAGCCATTTAAAATGNCGTTTCTGCAGCTTATCCTGTTCTCGTTCCTTTTCCTCAAACTCCAAGAAGTCCTCCATACTGGCACGCCTGCAGGTCAGAGTTAAACCTATTCTACTGGCTGTATATAATAAAGCTCTGTCTTTTAGGCACTTTCTTGATTTTAAATTCATGAAGTTTAACTTGCATGGTCTTAAGGTACAATGGAGTATTAGGGCCAGGCTAGAGATTTTTTCCATTTATTTTATTTTGAGAATAAAGTTGTAATATTACGAAAAAAAAAGGACGTTACATTACGAGAATAAAGATTAAATATTACGAGAATTAAGTCATCATACCTTAACCTGTTTCAGAAAGAAAGATTCGAGCTCCAACCAGCAGATGACGGCCGACCAGCTCCACCAATCCGCAACCTGAGTCCATTTTGACTTACTGCCCAATTTAAGGCTGCTGCTAAAAGATTTCCTTATTTCTCAAACCTAATGCCAAAGTTTAACTTCACATGATGCTCGACCTTACTCATTTTAGGGAAGAGTGTGCTTCTTGTAAGAGTTGTCATATAATACAACTTTATTCTATTAATTTTATGACTTTATTCTGGTTATTTTACAACTTTATGCTGTGGTACGACTTTATTTACATAACTTTATGACTATTCTTGTTGCTACTTTATTCTCGTAATTTTACGACTATTCTCATAATTTTATGACTTTATTCTTATAATATAATGACTTTATTCTGGTAATTTTTTTTACTTCATTCTTGTAATTTTTGACTTTATTCTCGTAATATTATTACTTTATTCTCGTAATCTTTTTACTTTATTCTCGTGATTTTGTGAATTTATTCTTGTAATTTTATTACTTTATTCCCGTATTTCTTTTGACCTTATTCCCATAATTTTTTACTTTATTCTCGTAATTTTATGATTTTATATTTAGCCACTTTTCAGACCCCTCTAGCACTTTGATTTCAAAAAAGCGTTTGGCGCCAAATCTAGAGATGTTTTTCTGCTACTGGAGACTTTAGAGACAACATCTAAAAGCAGCGAACTCTGCTCTCCAGAGC